CCAGCGGCACAGGCAGCCAGCTCTGCAACTGCCTTTCTCTTGCTTTTCCAAGGTTACTACTTCGAAATCCCCTCCATCGGCGCCATCCGCATCAACACGCAGGTACAGCGGGCAAGGGGAGGCAGGGGACAGGCAGGGGACAGGCTGGCAGAGCCACCCAGAGCCACCCACCTGGCAGCTGCAGGCAGAGCTGCCCTCCTGGGGTGTCCTGCCTGGAGACACACTCATGCAGCCCCAGCCCTGCTGCAGGGAGCCCAAAGGCTGGCAGCAAGTGTGGCAGGGAGCTGGGGAGCCAGGCGAGCCCTCAGCCAGGCCCTCCTGCTATTGAAATAAGTAATTCATCTTGTGCAGCTCCCCACGGACCTGCTGCCTTTTGAGTGACTAATTATGAAACATCAGGCGTTAATCAGCACAGAGCAGAGCCAAGCATGGGCAGGGAGTGAGCACAGGCAGGGCCAGCCCCAGCAGAGCCAAGTGTGTCCTCCTCAAACCCTGTCCCCCTGCCCCTCTTCTGCCCCTTTTCTTTGCTGGATGCACACAGGGTGGGGTGAGGGGCAGGTGCTGGGGATCCTTGAGCTGGGCAGCCCCTCAGGGCACAGCTGGCACTGTGGTACATGCGTGGGGACAGCAGTGTCACAGACTTGGAGCAGAGAGACATCCAGCTCCTGTGTCACACTTTCCCTGCATCCCTGCAGGAGTACCTGGATGTGCTGGGCAGACCCATGGTCCTGGCAGGGAACCGAGCCAAGCAGGTTCAGTGGACCAATGTCTACCAGGATGCCCTGGTAAGGACCCCCAGCCCTGGGGTGTGAGAGGGGACACTGGCCCCAGGGTCCCACAGAGCACATGCTCCCATCTCCCTTGCCAGGGGGGTAATCCTCCTTTGATGCCCACCCCCAGTCCTAGCGAGGGGCTGTGGGACACCCTTCTGTGCTTGTGCAGGGGCTGGGCCTGGTGGTGACGGGCACGCTGCCGGTGTTCAACCTGACAGAGGACAGCAGTGACAGGAAGGTAGGAGGCTGTTGCTGCTGCTGCACTGGGACCCCTGGGTGTGGGGTCATGGCGGGCTGGGGAGGGTGCACCACAGCTGGGTGCATGGCTGCAGGGGGGTTCACTGGCACCCCTGGCATGCTTTCTGCTCTGCACCAACTTCATGGGAAGAAACCAAGGGTGACTGCTGTCCCCTGGACCCAAACTGAGCTTGGCTAACTCTCTGGGTTCAGTGGGGACAGCTGGCAGCTGCAGGTCCCATGGAGGGCTGCTGGGGCTGGCACATCCCACCTTGTGTCCCTGTTATGTCCAGATCTGACCCACATGTCCCCAGAGGGGAGAAGAAATCCATCCCCCTGTTTGCCTGTGCCCATGCTGGCAGCGGCAGGTGACAGCCCTACTCCAACCTTCCTCCCCCCCTGTGCTTCCTTCCAGAACCAGCTCATCCTGGGTGTGATGGGGATCGACGTGGCTCTCAACGACATCAAGAGGCTGACACCACGATACAACGTGCGTGAGGCCCCTTCCCCTCCCTCCCTGCCCTGTGCTGCCTGAGTCCCCCAGGGGAGCCCCAGACTACCCCCTCCAGCACCCCTAGCACCTCCAGCACCACTGGCAGCAGCCAGTGCAGAAGCCATGATTGCAGGAAGGGATGAGGGCAGGAAGGGATCAGAGCTGGGGGATGCTCTGGTATCCAGAGCAGAGACAAAACCCTTGCAGGGTCAGTGGGGAATAAACCTTATTTCCCTGGGGAAAGGGTCAGCGAGGAAAATCCAGAGCTTGGGTGAGAGATACTTTTGGTCTGAGAATAGAAAGGGCTGGAAAAGGCTGAGCCCAGGGGGTGGTGAGGGGCAAGCTCTGCCTGCAGAGGTGAGGGGGATCATACCAGCAGGGCACAGCACACTGCAGACCAGCTGGCTGGCCTCATCCCTCTTCCTGTTCTCCACAGCTGGGGGCAAATGGTTATGTCTTTGCCATCGACCTGAACGGCTACGTCCTGCTGCACCCCAACCTGCAGCCCCAGGTGAGGAGGGGCCCGTGGGGTGGCAGCAGCCAGGGTTAGCCAGGCTCTGTGGGACGTGCAGCTTCCCAGGGTTGTTGGGAGTTGGCTGTGGGGATTGTAATGAGTTCGTCTGGACTCAGCAGTGGCTGCAGGAGCCCTAAGCCCTTCCCCAGCTCTCCCTTTCTGCCTGCAGATCATCAATTTCCGCGAGCCGGTGACGCTGGACTTCCTGGATGCTGAGCTGGAGGATGAGAACAAGGAGGAGGTGGGCAGACCTCTGGGCAGCTCTTAGGGTACAGACTGAACCCCCACCCCTATCTGCAGTTGCAAAGGGCACTCAGCCTCTCCAGCCTGCCCTGGGGAGCATCTCATCCTAAGGGTCCCGGCACAGCTCCTATGGGGCCACGGCAGGGACAGGAGCTGGGTCACTGTCCCCTGGGTGCCAGCCCAGCTCTCCTGCCTTGCACTCCCCAGCCTGTCCCTGAGCCCCCTGGGCTACTTGCCCCTGCACCCCAGAGAGCTGGGGTGGGTGCCTGTGAGCACCTGGCTGGGCTCTGTGGTCCTCAGTCACCTTCTCCATGTCCCCCAGATCCGGAGAAGCATGATTGATGGGAATGACGGGCAGAGGTTCATCAAGACCCTCATCAAGTCCCTGGATGAGGTAAGACTGCAGGGGAAGGGGGTCATGGCAGAAACCACTGCCATGCGGAGCACCCATTCCTGGTGGCGCAAAGTGAGGGGTCACACCCAGCACCAGGCTTGGAGCTGGGGTCCCCTGCCACCAGGCTGGCAGGGTCCCAGTACCACAGAGGGCTGACTGGCTCCCCCTGACCCGCAGCAATACATCGACGAGGTGTTCAGGACCTACACGTGGGCGCCCATCAAAAGCACCAACTACAGGTGAGCAGTGCTGCCAGCACCCAGACCTCCACCAGCACAGGGCTGTGGTCTCATGCCTGCAGCTCAGGAGGTCCCCAAGGCCACCAGGAACACGTCCCAGGGGCTGTGGGGTTGCAAACACGCCAGTCGGATCATTGCCACAGCCAGTGATGCTCTGAAGGGCACTCCCAAAAGTGCTGCCTGCCAGTCTCTGCCTGCTCTGGGGTGGGTGACAGTGACATGTGCCCACCCACATGCTGAGGGTGGAGGGGACTGCATTTATTGCCCAGTTTGGACCAGCAGGTGTGTAAAAACTACAGTGTCATCATGTCTGTGCTGTCCAACTAGTGCTGCCTTCATCCCATGAAGAGCTTCATGGTCCCCTTGCCATGTCCTCCTCCTCACCACCCAGCTCAAGAGGGGCCAGCAGGGGTCACAGCCAGATGTCCCACACACAACTCTGATCCTATCATGGCACTTCTCTTGAGCCAAGCAGCACTGTTAAGGAGGGGACAATGACACAGTGTGGCACAGCTGTGGCTGCGGGCTGATCTGTAGGACAGAAGGTGCTCTCATGGCTCTGTCCCACAGCATGGGTCTTCCCCAGAGTTCCCTGAGACACCATTAAGGGTACCACCAGCACTGAACAGAAAAAAGTCACCACCTTTCTGTTGCCACCTGTGGCTTGGGGTGTCACCACCTCTGCTGGGCACCCCAGCAAGCACAGTTCGAGCTGCCAGGTGTAGATGGGACTGGCTGGAGGGGCAGGTCCAGGTCCTTGTGCCTCAGGTGCACATGACATCCCATGAGAGTCAAAGGCAGTCCCCACCTCCTGCTGCTTCCTTATCCCTGCCAGCACTTGGCACAAACACTGTCACCAAAGGCCATCAACTGCTGCAGCTGGCACCCAGGACCTCAATTCCCTCCAGCAGCATGTCCCACAGGTTTGGCAGCCCTGGCACCACCTCCTGCTACCTCCTTTCCCACCCCCATCCTGCGCTGCTTGTGCCAAACCCCCAGTTGGTGGATCCCTCTCCTTCCTAGCTCACCAGTATCTGGTGCCTGTGTAATTACTGTCTTTGGTCTCTCCTCACTGGGAAGGTTTTGTTCCTTCTTTCAAGTGCTGTATCTCTTCTTGCCTTCCTCCCTTCCATGTGCTTCTCCCTTGATTCCTAGGCAGGTGTGTCCTTCCCTTCTCAGCCCTGGCTGGACAGGCATGCCACCTCCTGTCCTCAGGTGTGCCCCAGATGGCTCTGAGTGCCACCAGGATGACCCTAGGTCCACTGGGGATAGTCTTGATGCTTTTGGGATGAATCTGGATGCCAGCAGAATGGCCCTGGGTGCTCCAAGGCTGGCCCTGCATGCCCCAGGATGATCACAGGTGCTCTGAGAATGGCCCTGAGTGCTCTGGGGATGAGCCTGGGTACCACCAGGATGGCCCTGAGTGCTCCAAGGGTGGTCTTGGATGCCCTAAGATGACCCTAGGTCCCCCAAGGATGGTTCTGGTTGCTCCAAGGATAGCCGTAGGTGCTTTGAGGATGACTCTGGTTGCACCAGGATGGCCCTGGGTGCTTCAAGGATAGTCCTGGCTGTCACCAGGATGACTCTGGGTGATCTGGGAATGACACCCATTGTCCCCAGAACAGCCCTGGCTGCAGTCCCTGGAGAGAAGGACACAGCAGGAGGCCTGTGGAGCTGCTGCCTGCCATCAGCTGGGGCTGGGTGCTGCTGGGGAGGTGCCAGGCAGGGCCTGGGGGCCAGCTAAGGGCTTTGGGTGGTTTTAACATGTTATACTGCCTGTCTGCTCTCCCCCTCCGCAGCCTGGGGCTGGTTCTGCCTCCCTACAGCACCTACTACATCCAGGCCAACCTCAGCGACCAGATCCTGCAAGTGAAGTGTAAGTAGCCCCGGGCTTTCCCCCCGCCCGCTCGCCCTCCCGCTGCCCCCACGCCGGCCCGAGACTGCCGGGGGGAGAAACACGAAGCAAAAACTTGTGAAAAGAGCTAGGGATCACTATGAGAGGCCAAAATAAAACCAACAAAACAACACCCCAGGAAGATTAAAAATAAGAGAAGCATGAGAAGCACAGAGGGAAAAGGAGCTGCCTGCCTGGGGTGCCCCGGGGTGCCAGGGTTTGGTCCTTATGCTTTGCACCCCAAAACCCAAGCCCCAGGCTGTAGGCAGGGGACAAGGGATAAAGCTGTAGCAGCCAGTTAATTTGTGAGCCTGGGAAAGTTTGCATGGATCTCTTTACTTTCCTTTGGTTTGTTACGGTTCTTTGGTTTCAGTTTAAGCCATTTATGGTTCTTTTTATGAGTTCGGTTTCGGTTGGTTTCGATTTTTGTTTGGAATTAATCCGTGTACGTATGTGTTAGCCTGGCCCCCCCTTCTCTCTCTTTCTCTCTTCCCTGACCTCCCCCCCCCCAAAGCCTTTTTCCCACCTCAGGCCCACAGTGTTCCTGGGAACCCTCTCCCCTGTGGGAGAACTGGACCCTTTCCCTCTCCCCTCCAGTTGCCCCTGTTCCTACCCTTTGGCCACCCCAGTGGCAGGGCCCCCGCCCCCCTCTGGATCCACCCCTACTGCCCCTCCCTCCATCAGCAGGAGCCCCACATCCTGTGGGGATGAGGCCAGGCTGTCCCTGTCCCCGGGAGGGGGGACCCCCCATCCTCCCCAGCTCTGCCCCCTGTCCCGTGCATGCCCCCTAACTCAGAGAGGACATTTTGATATCAAGACTGTTGCACTGTTTGCTACTGACTCTCATTTTCCTTTGGAGTATTGAATATATATATATATATATTTCTCTAGTTATATCTTTGCATTTTTATTTAATTCTTATTTCACCGTGGCCTTTTCCTTTCGTTACTGGGTTTTTTCTTTCTTTTTCTTTCTTCATGTCGTTTTTTGCAAGAGGTTTCCTTTTGGTATGATTATGATACACAATATTTTTATTCAAACAACAATTGAATAAAATATTGTTTGTGCCCCCCTTCCCCCTTTCCACCCAACCCCCTTTTTTTTTTGTTTGTTGTTTTTTTGTTTGTTGTTTTTCTTGCTTTCTCTCTATGGTGGATTCACACAGTACCAAACATCAAAATGAAGGGCAAGTATTTTCAGTCTCAGACCACTCACCTTCACCACCCCGTCCCCTGCCCCGTGTCCAGTCCCCCCCAGTCCCCCTGCTTGCCCATCTCCCTGCCCGTTTGCCACGCCGAACCTGCAAACCGCCACCAACTCGCCCTTCCCTCCTCCTCCTCCTCCTCTCCTCCAGTTCTCCCTTTATTTGAAAGCCACGTGTCTTGTTCTGTCCATGAGAGCTTTGTCACGACGATCCCCCACTCCCTCCCCGCGCATCCCTCCCAAACCCGGTTCGATACCGTTCAAGAGCCGATCTCGTATGAAACTGCTGGTTTTGATCCACGAGGTTTTTCGTAGCTAGTTTGATACCCTGCTCTTCCTCCTCTCCCACTACCACCCTCTTCTTCCTCCTCTCTCCCTGCTCGCCCTCCTCCAGCTCTTCTCCTCCTGTCCTGGCTCCTCTGCTTCCTCCCTCCCCAAGACAACTCAACCTGAAAGGGATAGGGCTGTGCAGGGAGCGAGGGGCATGGGTGGGCACCCAAAGGTGGCAGGGACGGAGGGCAGGTGGGGGACCCAGTCCTCTGCTGGCATCTCCCTCTGGGACAGGCATCACAGGGGAAGACCCCAAGCAGGAACTCTCAGCAGAGAGGGGGATGGGACCACCCCAGGGTGATGCCACCCCTCTGCATGGGGATGGCCAGCCCCGGGGTGCTGCCTGCCACTGCAGCTGCTGGGTGGCTGCCCTGGGGCCCAGCATGGCATGAAGCCCCTGGCAGCCACAGTGTCCCAGTGCCATCCGTGCCCCCCGGGGGGACAAGTATGAGCCCAAAGTCCCAACGCAGCAGGTGGGGAGATGCCAGAGCTGGTGCCCATCTGCAGTGGTGTGGGATGTAGCCCGTGCAGCTCGGGGCAAGATTTGGCCCATGTCCCCACGATGCCTGGTCAGTGGCCATGCAGGAGAGGCCCCGTGGGCCTGGATCCACAACCCCACGCAGCCCCACGGAATGCACTGCCCGGCCATGCTCCCTCCCACACAGCAGCATCTGTTCCCCGGCACGGGCAGGGAAAGGCTGCAGGGGGCACGGCAGCACAAGGGGACACACGGGGGGACAGGGCCAGCGGGGAGGGCAGCAGGGAGGTGGAATTGTCACCCTCAGCCCTGTTCTATCAGCTTTGAGTTGCCTCCTCCCGGCGTCCCTGCGATGGCAATGCTGATGGACCAAGTACGAGTGTTTTGTACTCCTCTCCTCTTCCTCCTCTTCCTCTCATCTTCTTTCTCCCCCCCCCT